TCAGCATCTTAGCTGTAGAGGGCAGTGTCACTGGCCCGCATATGTGGGATCTGAACCGGGGCCCTCTGGCGTCCCAAGCCAGTTCTTAACCATCGTGCCACTCGGCCGGCCCTCACTTTATTTTTAATGTGAGTTTCGAAGATGGGAAAGGCCCTGTCCTAGGGACTCTTGTCTGTGGGGGCTGGAGCACTGTGATGGCGGGAGTCGTAGTGCCACAGGTGCAGGGTCACCATGAGTGCAGGGTCAACTTCAAGCCTAGGAGCAGCGTAATCAGATTTGTCTTTCACTCTGGTTGCATTTAAAGCATCGTTCGAGGTGGGGCTGGAGGTGGGAGGATATTGGAATAGCCCCATTCCGAAGTGATTTGTGCTGTCAGATAGCAGTGAGGAGAGTAATGGCAATGACACCAACAGAAAAAAGAAGAACCCTGTGTAAACAGATGGCACTGGTGGCCACTTAGAAGTCAGAGGAAGATGAGGAATTGTAAGATGGTGACTGGGATTTTTGCTTTCGTAGTGGCTGAGAGCACCATAGGACAACTACAAGGAAAAGGCTTTGAAGGAACATAAATTTGAGCACATTGAATTTTGGATGTTTGCAACATCCCGCTAGAAAAGTCCTTTAGTCTTGAGCTCAGGAAGGTGATCTGGAGACTGTGTCCGTCTTGTGGTCACAGTGCAATGATGTAGGCAGGGAATGTGAAGAGTGAGAGGCAGACCAGGAATGGAAGAGGGGGAGCCACAGGCAGCTTGCAAGGGAGAGCCACCAAGAGAGAGCGTTTCAAGGCAGGAGGCATGGAGGCTAGTGTGGGAAAGTGACTGCTAGAGTTGGCAAGTGTTGAAGAGCCCAAGTCCTAGTTGTAGCCCAGTGAGTCGGAAGCAGGTCTCAGGCTGGGTAAGGAGACTGCAGATTTCGAATGACTGGGTGGGAAGCTGTAGGTCCTGGCTGATGCTGGAGAAAATAAGCTTCTAGTGGCATCTGTCTGCCTGGTTGTATGATTTCTGCTTCCAACATCCCCCACCCTCAC